GCAACCATCGACGTACAATATAGAAACGATTGCCATCTGTATATCGCAATAATAATTTATAAACCAAAATGAATCACAATTTGTGACCGTAGATGGCGCTATACCCGCTTTGTAGCGATGGCCTTTGAAATAAATAGGTTATGCTTGCGTTCCGACATGTTTTTTAAATCTTTACTCTAATATAGAGTTTTATCGGCAGGGTGGAGAGGAAATACACAATTTGCATTAAAGATAGTGTCAATGAAATCTTGTAAAACAAACCAGAGAGTGTGACACCACAGACTGTTTGTGTCTATATAATATGCTATATAATTGCCAAACCCTACCTAATTTGCATAATTTTTTTTTTGCAAAAAGCGAAATGTTGACGGACGGACGTACGACGGACGACGAACCATGGCAATAGCTCAGCTTGACGATGTCAAGGTGAGCTAAAAATGGGAATTTTTACAGTTAACACATAGTAGCAGTGATTATCCTGGCTTAAGCAATACTTGCCTGCCAACCTGTACGCAGTAATCACCACGGATGGTTCCAGCACTGGAATCAGCTGGATTGGTTGCTCCCAACATGTTACGTCCAGTCTTCACCACATTCAATCCCTCCCACACCTACAAAACATTTCTCATATATTTGGCACTGGGAGCTAGCGTTTCTTCCCTTATTTTTCTTAGCATGTCATTCAAGAAGAAGTGTTAAGACCTATCCACGGCCAAGTCATTAATGTAAACATAGGGGTACAACATCAACAATTTAAACTTTCTGAAGATAGTTGATAATGATAGAAGATATTGCTATGGTCACACTAGGGACCTAGCTGGTTTATTCAACTTTACTTATATGTAGAAGTTACATACTCACCTGTAAGTATAAACCACTTATCAGTACACATGCAATACATGTAAAGTACAGGGTGATCATGAGTTTTCTTACACATCTTGCACTGTATCTTTGTAATTAACTGTTGGACTGACTTGTAAATTTGTGCAAGTGCAAAAGTTACTCATTCTATAAAATATATTCATTATTACACCGATCCATATATTCAATGTTTCCCACACGGTATCCTTACCATGGCAAAAACAGGTCCAGAAGCCATGTACTTGACGAGTCCAGTGAAAAATGGTTTACTAGAAAGGTCCTTGTAGTGAACCTTTAGATGATCCTCACTCGCCTAAAAAAATTAAAAACGAAACTTCTTCAGATAGGTTAGCAGCAACACTTTATTCTGGGGTCTAAACTAAGAAAAAAACATTCTTCCCCTGAAAAAAGTACTCTTACAAAAAAACCAAACGAATTTTCCATACAATTCTTTCAGGTAAAATGATTACCAAATCGCTGCAATATGTGTGGAATGGCTATATATTTAAGAAGACACTCATTCAGGGCACTAGACTATTACTCACACTTGCCACTCACCTGAGGCTGTACGAAATCCGTAATGGATAGGAATATTTAAAATATATTGGATTTTTGCATTGATTGAACACCACTGCTGGGTTGTTGTACCCAAACTTGGAATTTCAGCCCATCCACAGTTTGGGCAACCAATCTTGAGATTGGGCAAAACCTAGTTTGGGCAAGGTGAGCAGGGGTTGCACAAACTTGGAATCATAGGCTACGAAATGTTATATCATTACAATGAGTTCCCATATCTTATTTCTTGATTGTGTTTGGCATATTGGTTCACACCAGGGCCCCGATCTCACTACGCTCATACTATGCTCTAAGAGCGTGGTGGAAACGTGTAGAACGCAGTATGAACATATATGGACGTACTGCGATCGCGATCGAGCGCGGTGCAGTCACCATGAGCGTGGAGAGCGTGGCCAAACTTTGAACATGTTCAAAACAATCGTGGTGCGAGCGTGGCAGAAAGACAGCGCAGTGCGGGCGTATTAGAGACGTGGAAGGCGTAGTACCCACGTAACTCGAGCGTAGTATGAACTTAATGATCGTATCGCAAGCGTGTCAGGTGCGTGAAAATTGTCGCCCCGTTCTCAGCACGATGTCAATACGTTTTCATCATGCTGTTACTACGTCCTCGCTATGACCATGGTGCGTCTCTAGCAAGCTCGACCCATTCGTACTACGATTGTACTACGCCCAACACGCTCAGACCACGCCGTTGTGGCGTTCGCATTACTTGTTAGTTACGCTCAGATCACGTCCTGCGAACTTGGGGTATAAATTGGGGTGCTAACCTGGCCACCGCACCAGTTCAGTGTCCACTCCAAAGAAATTAACATTTCGTAGCCTATGAATTCCAAGTTTGTGCAAGCCCTGCTCACCTTGCCCAAACTACGGATTTTCCTATTATTGAGCAAATTATCTCAACTATCCATATAATTTGTTAAAGGCCCATTCACACCAGAGCTACGCTCATCACGATCGCCCCACGCTCCAAAAATTTGCCCGAGCGTGGTTGAGAGCGTGGCCAATTTGGCCCCAGCCGGGCCCAGCGCCGATACTACGATCTAATTACGTCGATACTACGATCTAAGTGCGTCTTTACCCCGATCTCATTGCGCTCAACAAGCTTTCACCACGCTCAACACCACGCCCGCATCACGCTTGCACTGCGCTCACTGCGTCTTTATTGCGACCAATCAGATCGCATTGCGTTCGAACGACCCTTGCACTGCGCCTAAGCAACGCTCACCGCGCCTCAACTGCGCGCTAGTCACGCTCCTAGTGAGACTTAATCACACTCTAGGCAGGCGCCGACTGCGCTGGCAATGACCATATAAATACCGCGCCGCGTTCTAGACATCATTCGTTCTGCCGTGCTGTTCACATCAAGATTATTTTCTACGGATTTTATACCCATAATAGTATAATAGTATGCTACAACTATGCCGCCAAAAGACTTCTATTTCTCCTCCTCATCCTCCTCAGCATGATGAGGGCTTGGCAATCAAGTAATTCGAGTATTCCTTCTACGAGAAACATGGCATGGAGTAGTGTTGCCTCATCCATTTTTCTTCAATGTGTTTGGCAAATGTGTCTTTGTTAAAATAATAAATGATTATATTAGATAATTTGTTAACTATTAGAGAAACTATTAGGGCGGGAGCCCTTCCTAGTTTGCCTCAGTTATACTCGCATACGCTACAATCGCCATTTTAAAAGTGTAGTTGAATAAGCGACTGTTCACAATCACTGCGCGATCTCAAGATTGTGCAAATTCCAAGTTTGGGTATGACATAAAATATATTGGATTTTTGTATTGACTGAACACCACTGCTGCAGTGCTGGGGACTGCTAATACGTATTAAAAAAATCAACGGCTTCAAACTCAAAGGTCCACCTTCTGATGAAAAAGACCCATCCCTCCACGAATGCCCGGTGGGGGTCTCGTCGCTGACACTGTCACAGTGTGTATGTAAGTGCAGCGGTGCGTGTGCGCGCGCGTGAATAATAATATGTATTATGTATGCATGCGCATTTGCCTGCATGCATTCGTATGCCTGTACTTGTAGGCTGTACAGCTGTACTATACTGTCTATCGTGATGCGCGTGTGTAGGCTTCGTGCACATAGCGAGGGCTGTACAAGCTTTGAACTTAGTTATATAGAAGGCGTAGCGTAGGGCCCAAGGATAGAGAACATGGGTCCCAATAAAACCAATGTGCCTAACCCTAACCATAACCCCCCCCCCATTGGTTTTATTGGGACCCATGTTCTCTATCCTTGAACCGTAGCTAGCAGGCGCCCCTAACCCTGGCCTAGCCTAGGTAAGATGAGGTAGCTACGCTCCCGGTGTGCATGTGTTATGCCGTTAAATACCTCAACACGAAAATCATACGCAAAGGAACGAAGGATGTAGCTCTGCCTGTGTATAGCTCTTCACGCCGCTAGCTATAGCCAGGTTAAACCGACCAGGCTCACCGACTAGTTACACGGCGGAGGCCGTGTACGTGGCCACGTAGTGTTAAGCGAGATGGGAACTTGTGGCTATAGCCAGGTATGATTCCGAAGGAAATCGTCTCACCTGCATAAATTTGGCCGCAACAAGTTTGAATCCCTTCTGTTCGAACCTCTTCATGATATCGCCAATGAGTCCTCTGTGCACTCCATCGGGCTTGATGGCAATGAAGGTTCGCTCCATGTACTTGTCCATGACTGGGGAGAAATAGGAGAAAAGAGAGAGGATAGTTCCTATCATCGGCGTGAAAAGGATAAAAGTGACCGACACGCGGACAGACTACGGCGCTTCGCACATTCCGATTACCAAGTTACCAATACCAACCAGTCTCTCGCCCTAGCTCAGCGAATATCATATCATCACTAGAATACAAAAAATAATCTAAAAACTTAAAATAGAATTTCCTTCACAGTCTATGATCCTATTATTTGTTATAATACACTAATTATCCGATTCGTGTTTTGCGTGATCGAACAAGTGGGCATCCATGTGCCATGCAATGATTTTCAGTACAGGCAGAGGTATGAGTTTGTGATTGTTCATGCTTGTATCACATGCATGCTATTAGTGTTATACTAGTAAACAAATTTATAACAAAATGTTACGAAACGGCATTAAACGGGACTCGAAGACGACTTCTCTAAATGTAGCCTATGATGGTAGGTCCAAAAGAAAGAAAACTCCAAAGAAAGGCCCATTACCAGCAGTGGAAGCGAAAAGCACGGGCAAAGATCGCGCTGAAGAAATACTAGAACAGCTCGTGTTTGGAGCAGATGAAGACCTTATCGATAATCTTTTGCAGAAAGACGTAAATATGTTTTAAAATATGGTACTAAGATATTTAGTGATTACAGGGATAAACTATAAGTGTAACGTACAATTTTTCCTTGTGTCCAATATTTACAGTTGTTAGCTCATCTGACATAGTCAGATGCAGCTTGTAGAATCGCACGATCGTCCGTCCCACA